CTCTTGTGTTCATTTGGACAGCAGAATCAAGTGGTGAAAGTATAGAAGTTGCATAAATATTTGTATAAATAAATTCCATGTGCCACAGCGAATTCTTCAATCCAGCTACTATGTCTTAAAGCACTTTATAATCAAACTAACTGATGTGACCATGACCCACATTAAGGGAAGGCCTACCTGAGGAAACAAATCCCACATGCTGGACACTCCTGGGTTACTTAAAAAAAATTAAGAAACCCAGAAACAAATGAGAGCTAGGTACATTATTTTCCTACACACTCTGTTCACCCACTGTGATTGAATGTATAAAGGTGAGCTCAGAGTTAGATCTTTCCCACCATCAAAAAATATCAGGACCAAGAAGTGTCAAATGTACTGTATGACTCAGAAAATGAAATTAAAACTATTCTGTAAATAATAAAATAATCCCTCACATACCACGTTACCTCTCATGCTAAACAGGATTAATTAATATTTTCTTTTCCATTGCATAGAGTGTTTTTTTTATTTGCTGGCATTTATTTCTATATAGAAAAGGCTTTGGTCTTACAGTGTCTTGAATTGAATCTAGAGATTATGGGAAGACATGATGTTCAACAAAAGCTACATCTCCAAACACTTAATACTGTCCCTCTGTGGCCATCTAAAATGTTGGGACACATGTCACGGAATCATTACCAGTTGCTAGAAACCACCACCTTCTATTCAAATCGATGTCACAAGTATTTAAACATAATGATAAATCCACTCTCTTTAGCAGCGACCATTTTACCAGACCTGGTGGCTTTATTGGCTGGTGTTTCTCTCCTCTCGGGATTAACCAGACTACACAGCATTGGATTTGGTTTAGGTTTCTTCCTCAGATCCTGCTCCGCCTGATTCACAGTTTTCCTGCCTTGTAGGCCTTTCTTCTGGTGTTGGGGGGCCTCTATGAGAAACGGAATTAGATTGCTGTGACAGCATTTAGTTGCTCTGCCCTCAAACCCCCTTAGTCCTTTTGGTAGATTGGGAGTGGACTTGCTATTGTATTTCCCCCCTCTTTTTTTCTGTGCTGCTTTTTCCCTTTCTTCTCTCCTTACTTTCCTTCTCTATTTGTTCTCTAAAAAGAAGTAAGAAACTGGAGTAGGTTTATTGAGTATTCTTTGTTCTCATTATTTCTGGAGTAATTCAAGCTTTCCAATCAGTACTGTCTTAATTTGGCCTTGCTTTTGTCTTGCGAACAGACCAACAGCAAGGTTAGAGAAACTCTAAGGTGGCTATTGTGGCATTTCAGAGGGAATGTTATAATTTGCATAATATATATACTCTCATTTTTAGCAGGATATGCAATATTGCACATTATATACAATGTTAGCTTGTTTTGAGGTACTCAGTCAGTTTTAATATTCAGTTTACTTATGAATATTTTGTCCTTGTTATTCTACCTGACGTCTTTACTTCCTTGTCAATTGAAAACCTCTCAATAAACATTTATTGACATTAAATATATTTATAAATAGAACAGGAAGGAATAATTGCATTGAGATTTTTTTTTCTTGGTTTTGTTGAAGTTCTCTAGAAATAGTGATCTTTCTGTTTTCTTCCACTGAGTGATTGTTAGGAGTGGTTTAACCAGATTATAGCATACAGGTGTTTGGTTTGTTTTCCTGTACAGGACCTTTATTAACTCACTCATAGAGCTTTGTGCTGTGCAGAGTCTACTTTTCTAAATGCATGAGGTTTCAGGTGGTAAAATAAATTTAACAGCAGGAATTGCAGGCAAGACAGGATGACAGGGTTAGTAAAATGGCACATATTTTTATTAAAATGAAATTTCTACCTTTGTCCTCAAATGTCACTTCATTTCTTAAAAGGAAACTTTTTGTAAATTGAACTTCTATAAAATCTATTTTTCTCTCTATAAAATGTATATTTCATAAGTTACAAAAAGAATGCACATTAAAACAAACTCTGTAAGTGAAGTGAATATTAAACTGACAGATGGTGGATTTGAGGGCCCCCTCCCATTAATGCATTGAATTGACAAGAGTTGGTATATCACAAGTGAAATAAAGTAATATGTTGTAGATATTGTGACAAACTCCACTACCCACGTGAGTTTGCCACGAGCTCCTGGAGGAGCCTGCTTCTATTAGTCCTGCAGGGAAACCTGTAAAAGACTATTTAACTGGCTTGGTTTGTGTGATTCCCCCATGCTGTTCGGGAACCGAACCGCCGCTTGAACTATGGACCACCTGGGAGCTTGTTAAGCCTAATGGATACATTGTAACGATTCTAACCGCAGTGTTATAATGGTTCGTCTGGGTGGCCGCCATTCGTATGCAAGGAAACGTGGTGGCGGCCGTCTTGTTCACACGAACACAGGCAGAGGTGTTTGGTCGTCGAGTTCATGGAACTGAAAACGGACACTGAAACTCCCGAACACTTCCATGGAAATCCCGAACCCCTAAACCGATCTGGGTGATTTTTGGATATGTTGGTCACCCATATCGGGGCTATCAGGAGTTTTCATGTAGTTTAAAGGTATATTCAGGGTGTCTGTAAAAAGGTGTGGTTTTTGTGCCTGGAGATAATTGAGTTTTGTACAGTTCCTGACTTAATTATCTCCCAGGCATAGGGGAGGGATTATCGTGTTTTGTGTGAGAGTGTCATGGGCGTGCTTGTCTGTGTTCAGAAATGTATAAAAGCAGGCTATCTGGACAGATTAAAATATTCCAGATTGTACTCCATGAACTATGTTTTGTCTGGTTACTGGGAGGGGAAAGGGCTAATCACTACCCCACTTGTTCCATCCAGTGTGATGGATTCAACAGGGAAAGTCCTTGTAAGGACTAGAGCTCCCAGGACTGAGTGTCGTCCAGTGCCTGGGAGTGGATAGAGCGAGTTCCCCCATTCGGCTCCAGGAGGACGGAGTGGTTTCAGGACCCCAGTCAAGTCACGGCGAGTGGGGGCAGGAGTGCTGAAGTTTGTCCCCTGTTCCAGCTAGGAAGCGGTCCTTGGTGGAGGTACCCAGCCAGGTTACAGGGAGCATCGTTACAGATATATACACTGATTGTTTTAAAATTTTTGAATATAGATTGTCGAAGATAGTGAGTTGGGATTTAATTTCTACCGAAATGATAGAGGAAGCAAATTGTTTCCAAATGTTTTATATTGAGAAATACTGTACTTCCCTTTAAAAAAAAAACAGTCATTAACAGAATCAATGTTAAGAAAATATTAACTTTTTTTTGGCGTCACCAGTCAAATGAAGAAGTGTGAATGAAAGTTGGGAACCAAGACTTATACAAAAGGGGAGAAATGAGTACTAGGATGTGGGAGAGAGTTAGAGTGTGTTTCATTGTAGATCAGACTAAGATGGATTAAAGGACCACTATAGTGCCAGGAAAACATACTCGTTTTCCTGACACTATAGTGCCCTGAGGGTGCCCCCACCCTCAGGGTCCCCCTCCCGCCCGACTCTGGAAAGGGGAAAAGGGGTAAAACTTACCTTTTTCCAGCGCTGGGCAGGGAGCTCTCTGCCTCTGATCCTCCTCCGATCCTCCCCGTCGGCTGAATGCACACGCACGGCAAGAGCTGCACACGCATTCAGCCGGTCGCATAGGAAAGCATTCACAATGCTTTCCTATGGACGCTTGCGTGCTCTCACTGTGATTTTCACAGTGAGAATCACGCAAGCGCCTCTAGCGGCTGTCAATGAGACAGCCAGTAGAAGATTTGGAGGAAGGCTTAACCCATTCATAAACATAGCAGTTTCTCTGAAACTGCTATGTTTATAAAAAAATGGGTTAACCCTAGCTGGACCTGGCACCCAGACCACTTCATTAAAGGACCACTATAGTGCCAGGAAAACATACTCGTTTTCCTGGCACTATAGTGCCCTGAAGGTGCCCCCACCCTCAGGGTCCCCCTCCCGCCTGGCTCTGGAAGAGGGAAAGGGGTTAAAACGTACCTTTTTCCAGCGCTGGGCGGGGAGCTCTCCCCCTCCGATCCTCCCCGTCGGCTGAATGCGCACGCGCGGCAAGAGCTGCGCGCGCATTCAGCCGGTCGCATAGGAAAGCATTATCAATGCTTTCCTATGGACCCTGGCGTGCTCTCACTGTGAAGATCACAGTGAGAAGCACGCAAGTGCCTCTAGCGGCTGTCAATGAGACAGCCGCTAGAGGGAATGGGGGAAGGCTTAACCCATTCATAAGGAAGGCTTAACCCATTCAGAGAAACTGCTATGTTTATAAAAAAATGGGTTAACCCTAGCTGGACCTGCACCCAGACCACTTCATTAAGCTGAAGTGGTCTGGGTGCCTAGAGTGGTCCTTTAAGCTGAAGTGGTCTGGGTGCCTAGAGTGGTCCTTTAATGAGAAGATTGAAGGGCCATCAGTAGTGCTGCAAAACAGGAGAATAGTCATAAAAGGAGGGTGTTTGTCTGAGATGGGGACATGCTCAAATTCAACCCACCAAGTGTGACTTTGAGATTTAAAGTGCTATTATATCATTTAATATAACTGTGCAGATCTCTAAAAGGTAAGGAAACAAACACATTTATGTGACAAGGTCCTGAAATGATATATTTTGTATTTAATGTATCCTTTTTATTATTGTTACTGAGCAACATTTACAGGCAACATGAATAGAATAATAAGTGTACCATTTACATACATGTTTGCCAATTAAAGGTAAACAGATCTGTACTGGTGGAAGGACAACTGTCCCCACTGTGAAGGTCTCACAGGCCTGTATGTAGGGATCAACAACTGTGTGTGTGTGTATATATATATATATATATATATATATATATATATATATATATACACATACATACATACAGAGTGGGCCAAAGGAACATGTACTGTATAGTTGAATTGGATTTTATTATACTGTTTATACCATTTATATGTGTTTAACACTATTTAATCTTAAGTGCTCAAAATGTGTTCCATCAACATTGCAACATTCCTTAAACCAGTCCAGTACTTGATTTGAGCACCTGCTCAGCATTTTCAGTATTCTAGAACTGCTTTTGAATCCACTTTCTTTGCTCTTGACTCGTTGTCATCATTCACAATAACAGTAAAGAAAATAAACAATTATTCTATCTGCCCTCCACTATTCTTTAACACTGCCACACTGATATTTGAATTCCTGAAATTCAACTGCCACTTTGTTATGTGTCAGCTGTATACCTACTTTTGGGCCACTCAGTGTATATATGGGTATGCTTATCGGTCCTAAGGAAAGTCCCTGAGTTGGAATGAAATGTCGACCTGCTTCTAAACTTGTTTGCTATCCCACAAAGTACAGTGGATGCATGAATGAATAAAAGGAAACTGGAATATCTACATTAAAAGACCATGAGTGCAGACTATTTTTTCTATTTCTCTGCATATTACAAGCCAAGGGTATATATACACACACCAAACAGCCACTGGGGGGCGCTTCTGAAATCGTAACAGACTTTTGGTCCGTTATCTGATGCTGGACGTCCTCACGCTCATGAGGACCTCCAGCGTCAGATTTTTCCCCATAGGAAAGCATTAATTCAATGCTTTCCTATGGGGAGGTCTAATGTGTGGAATAATCCCCACCGAGGATTGCTTGGAGTCCAGGATAATAAAAAATGCCAGGTAAAAAGCAAAGTATAAAGTGTATTTAAAGATGATTGGCACAACAAAAAGTGACCAAAAAAAATCTTTAATAAGTAAAATACACAGTAGAAATATCCATAAACACGTTTCGCCTTAAAGGCTTTATCAATATGGAATATATCAATATTTTATTATCCTGGACTCCAAGCAATCCTCGGTGGGGATTATTCCACCTACGCTATCACCAAGGAGCAGTTTGTCTGCTCCATCCTTGTGAGTACCATTTTTTATATATTTTATTTCTAAACCATTTTATTCAGTGAGCACTATTGGTTGTCTCTTTTATTCTCTTTGAGTGGTCAACTTATTTTTGAAGAAAAAGCTGTACGCTTTCCATACTAGTGCTAGCTATAGCTCTAATAAATGTGATTGCATTATTATCTTCTTTTATCATCTGTTGTACCCTAGTGAACATATTACACTATTTGGTCTTCTATTTGTTTTATCTTTTCATATTATTGGATCCCCCTGGGGAAGGACATTGTTCCTGATGAAGCATTTTACGGACTATTTGATCTAAGGAAGATCTATTCAGCTAAGACTTTTGTATTTTATTCATTAATAATTTATTGGTCCAATTTGGAGCAGCTTTCATTTATTTTTTTTCCTTTTTTTTAATTTTTTTTCTTCCTTGAAGTGATCTGAGTGCCTATAGTGGTCCTTTAACCCCTTAAGGACCAAACTTGTGGAATAAAAGGGAATCATGACATGTCACACATGTCATGCGTCCTTAAGGGGTTAAGTGTATGTTGCATGCAGTGGCATACATACCGCTGTCGCAGCCCTACGACCAGGTGCCCACCGCCATGTGTTGCGGCTCCGGCCTGCGCGCAGAGTAAGTGCAGGGGGGGCCCACGGATCAATTCTCGCACCAGGGCCCCATGGATCGTGTGTACGCCACTGCATATGGACTTTGTGCAGTTAGTGAATGCAGAGTGGTAGGTCTGCTGGGGAATTGCCACATCAGAAACAATAATGTATGTTGATCAGGCTCATTAGCAATTGCCATTTTTGGGGCCATGTATGGATATGAGTTATTTTGAATGTAATTTCCTGGTGTCAGCAGTTTGGTGCTTCCAGAATAGTATCAGTGTATGGAAACTGACAGTTCCATTGCGAGATTTTGGAGGATCTCTCTGAGAATATTGTATATAGTCTGGAGATAAAGTAAGGAGTAGAATGAGAAGGCAGGATGACTTTATGTAGCAAATTGTTCAAGTCAAATTCATTGGAGGTAGCTGGAAAAAAATGAATGAATGAATAAATAAAAGGATTAGGAAGTATGTAAATTGTGAAATGTTGCATGTGTGGATTTTTTTCTAGGGAAATATATCTCATGAGTGTGCTTAGTTATGCTCGCATGCAGGCCTATGAGCCATGATAGTAAACATCACAGACCCCTTAAGGACCGGACTGTTTTTGCGATGTTGTACATTTGCACATTTGCAACCAGGCATCTTTTTACACTTTTGTGGTGTTTGTATTTAGCTGTAATTTTCCACTCTCTCATTTACTGTTCCCATACAAATTATATATTATTTTTTTCAGGACAAAAGGGGCTTTCTTTACATACCATTATTTATATAATCTCATGTAATTTAATTTAAAAAAAAATGAAAAAATATGATGAAAAATTGAAAAAAAAATACAAGTTTTTTTACTTTTAATTAAAAAAATCTTTTACTCATCAACAAAAGCGAATGAAAAAAACTGCTAAATAGATTAAAAATTTTGTCCTGAGTTTAAAAATACCCAGTGTTTACATGCTTTTTTGCATGTAATAGGGCAATAAGTACAAGTAGGATATTGCGGTTTCAAAACATAAATTTTTAAAATTTATCAGTAGTGACATTGTAACACTATTATCTGTCATAAATCTCTGAATAACACCCCACATGTACATATTTTTTTTAAAGTAGACAACCCAGGGTATTCAATATGGGGTATGTCCAGACTTTTTTAGTAGCCACTTAGTCGCAAACACTGGCCAAAGTTAACGTTCATATTTGTTTGTGTGTGAAAAAAGTAAGCTAAATTGAACGCTAATTTTGGCCAGTGTTTGTGACTAAGTGGTTACTAAAAAAGACTGGACATACCCCATTTGCAATACCTTGGCTTGTCTTCTTTTGCAAATGGTATGCCATCATGGGGTAATTCTCACTCCTGGGCTACCATACGCTCTCAAAGGCAACGTAACCAACCTGGCCTTTTTCAATGTAACAATATTTGACCCATATATTTGACCCTGTAACTTTCAAAAACACTATAAAACCCGTACATGGGGGGTACTGTTATACTCGGGAGACTTTGCTGAACACAAATATTAGTGTTTCAAAACTGGAAAACGTATCACAACAATTATATCATCAGTGAAAGTGCTGTTTGTGTGTGCAAAATGCAAAAAAAGTCACTTTCACTGACAATATCATCGCTGTGATATGTTTTACTGTTTTGAATCACTAATATTTGTGTTCGGCGAAGTCTCCCGAGTAAAACAGTACCCCCCATGTACAGGTTTTAGGGTGTCGTAGAACATTACAGGGTAAAATACAGTGCTAGCAAATTAAATTCTCTGGACTTTCGGTCTGGGTTGGCAGGCAGGTCACTCAAATTGCAATCAATAAAATTACTTAATTATGTAAAAATATTACATAAATACGCATGTAGAATTTAAATATATAAGCATATTTATATATTTGAAGTCTACGTGTATATTTTTATAATTATTTATGTAATTTTGTATATGGACATATGTATATTTTGTATTATTTATTATTATTTATTTATATATACATAGATATATATACAATTTCATTCTAAGTGTATTTTGATATAAATATATATATATATATATATTAATATCAAAATACAGTTAGAATAAAATTTCATATAGATATTTATTTTTTATTTTTTTATTATTAAATTTAAATTTTTTATTTAATTTAAACTACTTATTATTTGTATTTTATAATAATATACATATACAATATATATAGTTATATATATTATATATACGTGTGTAATTTAATTATAAGTGTATTTTTATATTAATATATATACATATTAATATAAAAATACACTTGGTATAACATTATAAATATGATATATAGGCATATATTATATGATTATAATATATGTCTATATTTCATATTTATATACACATATAATTATTATTTTTTTATTAACATTAACAGTTATTTTTTTTAAATGATTTTACACTAGCAGGGAGACTGACAGTCCCCCTGCAGACAGTCACGCACGCCACTTAATCTCATTAGTGTAACCTGAGTGCAATGGTCCTGACATTTTTATAATTCAAGGCAAAACATGCTATTTTGCAGAAAAGGCAATGTTTACCTTCAGAGGTTAACATGCCTCCAGTGGCTATTACACTGACAGCCAGTGGAGGCACTTCCATTACAACGACATAGTAAAACTTGGTCACATGATGTTGCAGTCCCCATAGGAAAACATTGAATTAATTATTTCCTTTGGGGAAGTTTGGATGCGCATGTGCATGTTCTCTGTGAAGAGCATTGGATCGAACCACTGTTTAGAAATTCATGCATCCTCCATGACATTGCCAGAGGAGCAGAGATAGGCAGCACCGAGGAAGCCTTGGATCTGGCAACAGGTGATTTAAAATTAATTTTATGGCACACAGTGACTTCTGATTGCACCTGAATTCAGCAGCAACATGGCTATTTAAGTTGCTTAGTAAATCAAGGCCTAAGCATGTAAATTACAGAATGTATAACTCATTTTACTTTCAGTGCCACTTGGGAGAACAGCACTTGGCTTGTGGAATTAGTGCATTCCTGTTACCTGACATAGATACAAACACATAAACACACACTGGCACACATACAGATATACAGACACACAGATACAAACACTGACATATGTTCAGATACACAAATACAAACACTGACATACAAGCAGATACAGAAACACACATTGACACACAAAAACACACTGGCACACTGGCACACACACAGATAAACAGATACACACACAGGTATACAGATATACACACACACATGCAGATACACTGACACATGTATATACAAAGACACACAGAAACACACACTGGCACATATACAGATACACACACTAACACACATACAGGCACACAGATACACACAATGACACATACACAGATACATAGAAACACACACGGACACACATACAGATCCAGATACACACTCATGCCCTTTAAACACACACATTGACACATACACACAGTGTCATATTCACACACTGAAACACACTCAGATACACACACACTGAAATACACACACACACACACACACACACACATAGGCACATACAAACACACTGCTTTACACTGGCACATACATACACACACATACTCAGATACACAGTGATACATACACAAACCTTGACACACACTCAGACACACATACTCTTTGACAGACACATACAAACACATATACACTCTCACTGATACATTCTAACTGACAAACACATACACACACACTCACTGACAAACACACATACAAACTCCTTAACAGATACACACACAATTTTTTTTAAATTTTTTTTTCACTCCACCCAGCCTCCCTACCTTTGGGAGTGCTGGCATGGAGTCTCTATTTCCCCTGGGTCCAGTGGGGCTTTTGGGCTGAGCGGCTGGCGTGCAGTCCCTGGAGTCCAGTGGGGCTGAGCGGCTGGCGTGCAGTCCCTGGGGTCCAGTGGAGCTGCTGGGCTGAGTGGCTGGCGTGCAGCCCTACAGTGCGGGCGGCGAGGGAGCAGTGATCTTCCTGCTCATGTCCCTTGCGCGTCTCTTAGCGATGCCAGAGTGAGTCATATTCCCGGTCCGGCACCACTGTTAGGCGGACTGCTGGGGGTGCCCACCGGGATGTTTCCTAGTGCCCCCCCGTCTGGAGCCGCAGCGCTATGTGAGCGGCTCTTGAGCCGCCCCCAGCGCCGGGCCGATCCTCAAGGGGGGTGGGGGGGTGGGAGCCCTATCACAGGCTTGCCCACACTGGACCCCAGGGAGGTGAGTGTTTGACTGTCAGTTAGTGAGTGTGTGTCTGTCAGTAAGTGTCTGCCTCTGTGTGTGTGTGTGTCTGTCAGTGAGTGAGTGTATGTACGTATGTATGTCAGTGAGTGATGTGTATGTGTGCCTGTCAGTGAGTGAGTGTATGAATGTCAGTGTGTGTGTTAGTGAGTGAATGTATGTATGTCAGTGAGTGGTGTGTGTGCCTGTCAGTGAGTGAGTGTATGTATGTTAGTGAGTATCTGTGTGTGTGTCTGTCTGTCAGTGTATGACTGTCAGTGAGTGAGTGTATGAATGTCAGTGTGTGTCTGTCGGTGAGTGTGTGTCTGTCTGTCAGTGAGTGTATGTCAGTGTGCATGTGTCAGTGATTGTGTGTATATCTGTGTGCTTGTGTGTCTGTCAGTGTCTGTGTGTTTGTGTCTGTCACTGAGTCAGTAGATGTCTGTCAGTGAGTGACTGTATGTCTATCAGTGAGTTTCTGTGTGTGTGTGTGTGTGTCTGTGTTAGTGAGTGAGTGTGTGTGTGTCTGTCAGTGTGTGTGTCTGCCAGTGAGTGAGTAACATGAGGGGCAGCAAAATGGATCACTGCTGTGAGCGTGAGGGAGCTGAGCAGGGGAGAGAACGCCCTTGCCGTCCGCCTTAATTATCGCGGCGGCCGTTTTGTTTCCCGTAATTTTGGCGGAACCCCATTTGTGTTCTCACGGAACCCCAATTGGGAACCGCTGGAGTAGATGGATAGTAGTTTTGAAGGTGTTTAAGATCAATACATTGGAAGTAAATAGGAAGTAAACATCTATTTGAAGAGAGAGCAATACATTGTAATAAATATGTAGTGCGGTTTGGAGGAACACAAACCAGTACACCGTGTATATTTGGGCAGTTCAGATTAGAGGAATACATACCAATACACGGATATAACGCGGCTATGAAAGGCAGATGTACAGGACAATAACACATATGCTTGGCGTATCTGGCATGTCTGGAGGTAAATCAATATACATTGGGAGCTGAATGTATAGTAATACATTGCGGTGAATCTATCTCAGTGGGAGCGGAGTTTTACTGAATATACTGCCCTCCCTCATCTGTTTTGCTTTACTTACTAACATTTTCCAACTAATTATTTCCGAGTGTTTATCTCCTTTTCCTCTCTCCTCCTCGTTGTGTGTGTCACTTTATGTGGTGTTAGTTTCCCTGTCTGCCACTGGTCTCTCTCTGTGTTCTCTGACAATATATTGTCTGTCTGTCATCACTGTGTGATCTATATCTCTTCGTGGTCTCTTGTCCCTGTGCGAGCTGTCAATCTCTGCGGTCTCGTTACTTGCGAGCTGTCACTCTCTGCGGTCTCTTGTGACTTTGTGAGCAGTCACTCTCTGAGGGCTTTATTCCATGTATGAGCGGTCACTCTCTGCGGTCTCTTGTCTCTGTGTGGTCTCTCACTTTCTCTTTGCCGAATCACTCATTCTTTCCTGTGATTCTGTTACTGTGTTTCCCCTCCCTCCACATTCCATCTCCCACTCGTGTTTCTCCTTCTCTCTGAACTGCTGTCTAACTCTACACGTTCCGTGCACTTGTCGTGTTCCCTAATCCTTTCTGTGGTCATTTCTCAGTGACATTTCCTGGTTTCTATCTCCCTACCTTCTACTCACACACCTTGTCTCGCACACATTCTCCCTCAGTTTGCTGCCATTTATCTCTTGCTTCAGACCTTTGCTGGATGAGTTGTTATGTTGTTAAACATTTATTAGAGATCAGAGTTCAGAGGGTGGGTGTCACTAGTGGGCCATGCAGCGTTGGGTGTGGACGTCTTTTAGCCATGGAAAAAGCAGTGTGTGGGGAGGTTGGGGGTGTGTATATGCTGTACTTATTCAGGGTGTGTGCTTGCTCTTAAAAGAATAGAATCTTTTATAGTGTAAACGTACGTATGTGTTGTCATTTTCTGCCTGGAGAATAATTATTGAGACTGGGTTTATTCTGCATAGAATAGTGTGCCTTTACTTGGGGTGCTGGCAGGCTGGGTCTGTTGGTAGGACTGTGTCTAGGACACACAACACTCTGTGGATTAGTTGTGATGCTGTATTGGCATGAGGGCTGCGGATTATATCAGTGAGTATGTTATAATTTGAGAGCAGTACATTATATCAGTGAGTATGTTAGAATTTGAGGGCAGTGCATTATATCAGTGAGTATGTTATAATCTGACAGCAATAGATATCAGTGCGCATGTTATAATCTGAGGGCAGTACATTATATCAGTGCGCATGTTATAATCTGAGGGCAATACATTATATCAGTGTGCATGTTTTAACCTGAGAGCAGTACATTATATCAGTGTGCATGTTATAATCTGACGGCAATACATTATATCAGTGTGCATGTTTTAACCTGAGAGCAGTACATTATATCAGTGTGCATGTTATAATCTGAGGGCAATACATTATATTAGTGTGCATGTTATAATCTGAGGGCAATACATTATATTAGTGTGCATGTTATAATCTGAGGGCAATACATTATATTAATGTGCATGTTAAAATCTGAGGAGAGTACATTATATCAGCGTGCATGTTATAATCTAATGTGGACAAAGAGCTAGATTTCTATGTCAAGTGTATTGGACCCAGTGACCTGCACAGATGAGATATGGAAATGGTTGTTACTGCAAATAGGTTCTGCTTTGCATGAAGGTATATGTTTAAAGATTCAGGACATATTAAGGTACATGTGATATCACTTTCTTCAGATGGAGCAACAGGATCAAGACATTAAGCTCCTTTTGACATTGGATGACTTCATCCCCCCACATTTGCAGAAGAAACCCAGTCCGAAACAAGAGCAGATTCCTTCTGAAGATTTGGTAAGACTACTATTCAGTAAGATTACTATTATTGTGCTGAGGCTTACAAGCATGGCTAAGCTCATGTCTAACCTCAGGCATGGCAGCTACTGTGGACAATCCAGACTGTAGGCAAAACCGGGACCACTGGTGTGCCTTGAAGACATGGTTGGGATTGGGAGCAACGTAGTCATGATACACACTTGACTGGCTAAGCATCATCTGCTTGGATCTGAGTGCTTGGATCTCAAATTCTAACCTCCTCAGATGTTGGTGGCCTACAATTCCAAAAATTCCTTGAATGCAATACATGGGTAAGGAGTCATGTGAGTTGAAGTTCAGCAACATCTAAGGAGGGCAGATTTACATGGCAGTGGGACCCCAAGCCCCAAACAAACATGGTAAACGGGTTTAAGGTTTGAGAGGGGTTAACATAAAAAATAGTGTACATAGGGTGTTTTATGTTAAAAGTTTTAAAATGATAAATGTGTTTAGAAACCAGTTCCTGTAAATAAGATCCATTGTTCTGTCCTAAATTCAATTTATTAAAAAAAGTAGTAAGTCACAAAAAAGTTCTATAACACCCTTAAAATTAAAGTGTCCCTCTTTGTCCATTTGAGATTATGGGAAGTATGCACACAGACCTTGAAAGAGCTGGGACAGCACTGTGTTTTACACCCTCTATAATTGTTCCTGCAGCACTGCTATCAAGAAAGCTGACTGGACTATTGAAGACATTGGCCAAGGCTCCTGGTACTATTTATCATCCCCAATTAGCCCACTTGAGTTCTAAAAAGTCACATCATAAATGCTTCAAATAGGCACACCCTACAAGACAGGTGCCTGTTGGCAGGTGTCTATGCTGCCTACTGGGAAATCTAGCCCTTCATCTGGGTAGGATGGTGTTTGAGATGCCTGATGTGGAATGTAAAGAGTGAGCAGTTTAACATTAAAATGTAAATTTCATTATTATGTAAAATACATGATTTGGGTAAAAGTGCCTGTTCAGAAATAAAGAATACATGCACACATTGACATGTAACTCTCTCTACAATACGTAAATATGCTCTACAATACGCTTCCAAACTGGTCATAGTTAAGTGATAATGTTATGTTTTAGGAGGTGGCAGCGATATAACAAGAACTACATAGAAGGGTCGCATGGCCTGGGAAAGCTGCTTATTATATCTACTTTACGCTATCTTGCTGTCTCTTAAGGAAGTTTATCATTAAATAACTATTTAGATTCTGGGAATTAGAACCCAGTTAATTGTCAAATGTCTAAATATATCATTACAAATACCCTATACATAATGTATAACGCCAATATATTTATAAATAAATTTATTTTATTTTTTATGTATTATGTCAGTCATGGCCGGAGAGCCACCCATATTCTTCAGAGAGCATGCACTATTACAACAGAACCACTAATTCACCCCCAACAGAGGATAAATGGGAAACCTCAAGTCAACAGAAATTCTGGATACGCTATGATGGCATTGGTCCGACAGATGAAGAAGGGATGCCGTATGCCTCCAGAACTGTGAGTGCACTCACTATGTACACTATTACTGTAGAAATCTATTTAGGAAGCACAGTTTACTGTTAGATTGAAGTGCCCTTTAACTTTTAACGTAGCCGTTACCATTAGTTTCATGTTTGAGGATAAGGTAGAGAAAGGTGATGATGACACCCGATCTCTGTTTTTGCAGAGTGTGGACAAACCTCGAGACTGGTACAAGAGCATGTTCAAAGTCCTGCACCGACGAACAGGTCAGTAATGACTGGTCATGGAATATACAGCCTGAGACAGGATCAGGTCACACAGCATCTCCAGATCAGGGGGAATTTAGAGATGTAAAATGTTTTTTTTGTTTTGTTTTTTGCCATGGAGATTTCATTGGCACTACCAATATAGACCAGATCATTTAGTAATGTATAGCTCCCTAATGAAATATATATATTCCTTTAAATTATATTGATTTTCTATTTTAACATATACTTCTTTAATTGAAGCAAATATTAAACTAAATTAGGTTCCAATGTACAATGAAAGAGAAATGCATCGTTGCAGAGAGATGCTGCTTTACTTTTCCAATGCTTATCGCTGCCTGGCAGCTGTATAAGCTGAGGACTTGCACTGTCTATATCAGTGGTTGTCTCAGCTAACCAGTAGCAGGTACTATTTGGAGATTGGTACTGAGAATGTTATTAGAATTCCTTCAATAGATTCTGTAGAAAATAGAATCATTCAATTTCATATAACAGTGTGTGAGGGTCAGTGACCAGGGTTGCCTGTATGCGTCACACTGGCTGTGGGTTGTGTTTTTTTTATAACACAGCCATGTTAAAGTGTTGCCACCCAGCACAGGTATGTCCTGTTAAGGGTTAGTTAGTCTGCAGCGGTGTGTAAGAATTACCCATTCTATCTCATTAGATATTTTGACTTTTTGCACAGGCAAGGTTTTTTGGTTTTGTTTACTGTATATATCAGGGCTGAGGAATACGACAGCCATCGCTGCCGTCAAAGGGTAGTTGGAGAAGTGTGGTATCATTTATGTCAATATTTCAAATACTCGGGTTTTGTGCTCAATCTTTGAAATAGCTGTTTCAAAGAATGCCAGATAAGAACTCATGTTGAGGAAAAGTGAAATTAATTATATGTTTTTCATTTTAACTACTGACCGTGCAGACTGAAGGCATAAAACATTGATTCATAACATGAAGGGAGATAATACTGGCAATGCTCATGAGTTTTGTTTCAGATTCAGAGGACAGCGACTCAGAAGATGAAGAACTGGGAAACCCTGGGCTCCAAACTAAAAGTCCCAACTCACTAAGTAATGCTGAGTGAGTATGTGTGTAGAATGATTCTTGAACAACATTACACCATTGTAATCCAGGCTTTATCTTGCCAGCTAGCTCTCTGTATCTTGTACTTTAGCTAAATACATTTATTAACTGTTTCAGCATTTTTTCACTATGGTACACAGCAGTTTTTCTGTGTGTCATCTTTACTTCCATAGATCATTGCTATGTTTGCATTTACATCTTTACCTTTTACTCCATTCTCCCCAGTAGGTTGCAAAACAATCAAAAGTTGGAACATTATAAGCTGAAAGACCCGCCAGTTACTATTAGCCCTACCTTTAAGCAACCACAGAAAAAAATAAACTCCAACCCTGCCGAGCATGAAACCACTCTAAAACCCACCCTCGCCAAATCCAAAAGTACATTAAATCACATTCCTAAAAAAGAAGATTCATCTAAAACTAATATTTCAAGCAAGCTGCACTACTATTCAAACACCTCATCTCCATTAAATCAGTCAACAGGAGTTCAGCTAAACACAAACCTCACATCAAAAGGACCAAAATCAACTTCACAATTATTCCATAATGTTTCCCAGAAATCATCAAGTCCAACTACTAAAGAGAGATCACCTGCAGAAAAGAATGGTCTCACTGAACCACGACACAAAGTGGAAAAAGCAAGGTTGGTTTGGACTTCATTAGAGCACAATTCACAAGATCCTTACCTAGGCTCTTCAAATGATAAACCTGAACTAGCTACTAAGAAGTCAGGTACTTTGCAAAACCTTTCCACAAGAAATCGACGTTTATCATCTGGAAGCACCTCTAAAGAGACATCCTCTTTAAGCCTTTCTCCCAAAGAGGCACGTCATTATCGAAGATCGACCTCTAAGGTTTTGGTATGTATCAACTCAACATAAACGTATGTTTATATATATATAGATATAATTATTGGTATTAATATTTATAAAGCGCTCACAATTTTCAAAGTGCTGTACACATCTTCCATTACGAATAAGGAATAATCAGTCTAAGCCCCAACACCAACCATTAGGTAGGGAGAGTTTTACAAATTCTACATAGGTTAAAGAGAACCCTCAAAACCTGAATATGTTTAACTGACTCTCAGCATTGTCTTAGGGGATTCCTTTAACGGTAGGTTAACAAAAGGCAGTGGACAAATGCTAGCAGAACTGGTAGATTTGGGACATACCTGGGTATTTCACATTTTTAAACTTGAAATTGTCACATATGGCCACCCAAAGTATTAGCGTATAATTGGTAAAATGTTGGACAACTCTGCTATGACATGCTTAAAGGGACACTTTAGTCACCAGAACATCTACAGTTTATTGTATTTGTTCTGGTATGTATAATCATTCCCTTTAGGCTTTTTGCAGTAAACATGGTCTATTCAGAGAAAAGGCAGTGTTTACATTTCAGCCTAGGGATACCTCCAGTGACCACTGGAGTGGTGCTTCCTGGGGCAGTCGGACATTCAGGGTGTCTACCCTCTGCATGGAGGTACTGAACTTCCCTCTCTATGAGGAGATGCTGATTGGCCAGGGCTGTGTTTGTCTTGTGCTATCTCTGCCCTTGACCTGCCTCCTTGACAATATCAGCCAATCCAATGCTTTTCTATGGAAAAGCATTGTGATTGGCTCAGATCACCACTTTTGATGAGGTCAGCCAAGGAGGCAGTTTAGGGGTAGATAAGCCAGCAGCAGCATACCGGAATAAAGGTAAGATTTTACTATATTTAGGGGGGCAAGGTGGGGGGCACATGGTTAGATGGTGTTTTTAACACTCTATGATCAGGAATAAATGTTTGTGTTCTTGACCCTATAGTGTTCCTTTAAGCCCAGGTAGAACTTGGAAGGCACTATTTACTAAGTGGAACAAAGACTCTGCCAAATATAGGGTTGTCAAAACGCTGTTTTACTGAATGACACTTCTTGAACATACATGCATCAGAGCATGCACCTCATGGTGTCCATTTTTTATAACTATGAACCTGGCTGAAAACACAAACATAAACAGCAGTAAATTTCATATTCAGTGGACCCTGCATCTCTCCATAGTTACTACTGAACATAGCAGGGTCGATTACCATTATGCTTATCATAACAGAAATGGTATTAATATATCAGAGGCAGGAGAGCACATGGTATGTAACTACTAACTGCCCTCACCATCCACATTTCCACAACACCTACTAGCTCAACTCCATAAATATAGGGCTGAAGTAACATGACTCATACTAATACAATTTGCTTGGTGGACTATATATTTTACTTGTTCTCTCACTCAGGGGAGTGGTGGCAAAGGGCCAATTGGCCAGAGGTCACTAGCATACGCGAGTTCTAGGTTGAAGCCTCATAGTATCATTTCCCTGTTAATTAAAATCTATCGGGGGTTACTTTGATGTCTGCTGGTGCAGTACTGCAGGAGTGAGAGAGAAGACATGGATTGTACAGGGTACTTAAAGGAGCACTATAGTGCCAGGAGAACAAGCTTGTTTTCCTGGCACTATGTAGTCCTTAGGCCCCCCCACCCTAATGGCCCCCCTGCCGCTGGGCTGAAGGGGTTAAAACCCCTTCAGACACTTACCTTACTCCAGCGCCGGGCTCCCTCTGTGCTGGGGAACTCTCCTCCTCTTGCCGACGTCAGCGCCGAATGCGCATGCGCGGCATGAGCTGCGCGGGCAAACAGCCCATAGGAAAGCATTACTCAATGCTTTCCTATCGACGTCAGCATCTTCTCACTGTGATTTTCGCAGTAAGAATTGCGGAAGCGGCCTCTAGTGGCTGTCAGTGAGACAGCCACTAGAGGCTGGATTAACTCTCAGTGTAAACATAGCAGTTTCTCTGAAACTGCTATGTTTTCAACTGCAGGGTTAAAACTAGAGGGACCTGGGACCCAGACCACTTCATTGAGCTGAAGTGGTCTGGGTGCCTATAGTGGTCCTTTAATATCCCAACACCATGTAAACTTGTGCTTTGATTGGTGGCCTGTACTCTCGATCTGCAAATGGTCCCTCATGCTGCATAAGTTAAACTAATAGAGGTTACAGGGATGACACCATCATGACTTTCTGCCGATAGATCTGTGAGCTTTGTATGTAAAAAAAAAAAAGCTATTCATTTGTATTTGACTCCAAAGGTCAAAAGTTGCCAGCCCTCCATTTCTCTCATTTCACTAACTACACATATCACTGTAGAACCTTTTCTCTCATAGCAAGAAAGAGCTTACAGCATACACACCGAGACGCCTTTGCGTGTATATTATCTATTTCTAGCTGCTCCCATGACTTTAAGTTAATGTATTACTATGTTTCTGTTGTAAATCAAGTAAATAAATGTAAACGGTCTTTGCAGCAAGTAAATAAAATAATCACTTTCCTTTTATTATCCATGACTTGCTTTGAACAGATGTGTTAGTAAAATGTTATGGTATCTATGTGCATAGTATATGTAGAAGTATGTATATTCTGTCAGCAAAGTAGTATTAAACCCATAACCAATTTATGCAATTACGTACTACGTGATGCACATTTTTGCTATTACAGGAGGGCTAAAAACAAACATAATATATAGTTTACAGAGGGAGCAGTGTAAACTATGTTATTCTAAAATAAATAATCACGCTATGTTATCTAGACGCATCTTTTCAGATAGTTTCTAGTTCCTTTTTGTGGACATTGAAAGGCGTGTGTCACTTTCTGCTAATTTATCTTTGAAAAATAGGCAAACAAGTCAGTAAACTATGGTATAAAGTCCTCCAGCTCAGTTTGTTTATTGGTGGGCATACATTTTAATTTATTGTATGTCATTCGCAGAGGGCCATAGGAGCTGCAGTCCACAACATCTGTAGTGCTATTATTGAAAATTGCATAGTGAACCTGCCTGTTATATATACATTGTCATCGTGAAGGTCCTGCAGTGGGCAGTTTTGGGGTGTGCATACTTTAAGGAACCATGCAACGATGCCTTTGTTAAGTAGAAATGTATTTCTCTGCAAACCCTAAAAAGGTTTCTGTTACTTTGGACACGAACTAAAATAAGCATTTATGCCACTTCAGAGCTAGAGGAATTGATGTGCTTGCAATCTATCTTTTGGGTTTAAAAGGATTTCACTGCCTAAATCTGCACAGGTGTTATACTGTCTGTACGGTCCATGTTGCTGCATAAACTTATTACATATTTAATAATACCTGCAGGATCAGCTGGAGGCAGAGCTGCAAGAATTCACAAAGGAGCTTGAGAGGGACCAGAAGGTTCATATGGACACACCGGGCAATCTACTGAATCAAAATACAGTATGTATATAACAGTATGTATATAAATATGGTGAGGCTGGATTATCACTGTGAGGGCAGAAATTTTACCCTACTCATATCTGAAATGTAGGCCATTTTATTTTGTCCTAAGGAAATTTCAACCCCGCTATTTATATTGCGAGTCCCAAGGATATTAAGGGGTTAATCCTGGTAACCAACAGTAAATACCTGGAGATTAATGTATTGCAGGGGTAGCAACATTGCTCACTGAGATGAAGATAATTAGATTTACAAAAAGTGATAGCCAATGAAGTTCAGTCTATCAAGTTCCCATATTCCATGACCAAAAAGGATGCAACTCCATTCCCAAAAATGGAAGTTGATGCTGTTTAGACTGCTGTTTACACGTGAGTTTACAGAGGTAGAGGTTCTATTTCAACTGTCAAAAGTAAAGACAAGTCAATGGGACCTGATGGAATACACCCAAAACTATTAAAAGAGCTTAGTGGTGTACTAGCAAAACCATTAACAGATTTATTTAACCAATCATTGTTAACAGGAGTAGTCCCAGAAGATTGGAAGTTAGCAAATGTTGTGCCCATTTACAAGAAAGGTAATAGGGAGTAGTCGGGCAACTATAGGCCAGTAAGCCTTACTTCAGTAGTGGGGAAAGTGATGGAAACCATGTTAAAGGATAGGATTGTTGAACATCAAAAAACACATGGATTTCAAGATCAGAGACAACATGGGTTTACTTCAGGGAGATCATGCCAAAGTAATCTTATTGATTTTTTTGATTGGGTAACTAAAATTATAGATCAGGGTGGTGCAGTAGACATTGCTTACCTAGATTTCAGTAAGGCTTTTGACACTGTTGCACATAGATGGCTTATCAATAAACTGCAATCTTTAAGTTTGCATTCCAATATTGTTGAATGGGTAAGGCAGTGGCTGAGTGACAGGCAACAGAGGGTTGTAGTTAATGGAATATATTCGAAGCTTGGACTTGTCACCAGTGGCGTACCTCAGGGATCTGTACTTGGACCCATTCTCTTTAATATTTTTATTAGTGATATTGCAGAGGGTCTTGATGGTGGAAACGAGGCCGGACTGGCCATCCGGGCATACCGGGCAAATGCCGATTGAGCCTTGATGGCCGTGCTGGGGCCGAGGAGCCCGGCGGGGGATCTCCCGACGGCCTGCGAACCCAGCGCTACCCGAGCGCCGGCCCCGCTGTGTGTATCCATGGGCCGGTGGGGAGATCAAAGATCTCCTCACCGGCCCAGAGGCAGGGAGATGTTGCCGCAGGCTGGAGAGGGAGGGAGGGAGGAGAGGACCGGCGGAGCTCTAGCCAGCAGCTCCGCCGGGTCCTCTCGCGAGATTCTGAGCGTTGCCGCGGTTACCACGGCAACGCTCAGATCTCGCGAGAGTGAACTCTAACCTGCAGGTTAGAGTTCACTCTCACCACTGGACCACCAGGGAATGCAGCATGGCTCCCCTCAAGGCTCCCCCTGCCAGGCAGAACGGCTCCCTCCCCCTCCCAGGCTAAAGGTAAGAAGGGAGGGGGGGGGACATAACTTATATATAAAAAATATATACTTAAAATTAATTCCCAAACAGCACCCCCAGACACACACACATACCCCAGACACACACAGCCAACTCACACACAGCACCCCCACACACACACACAGCACCCCAGACACACAGCGCCCCAGACGCACACTGCACTTTAGACACACACAGCCAACTCCACACACAGCACCCCAGACACACCTGCACCCCCAGAGCACAGCACCCCAGACACACACTGCCCCCAGACACACACAGCCAACTCACGCATGGCACCCCAGACACACACTTACCCCCAGACACACACTGCACCCCCAGAAACACACAGCACCCCCAGACACACACAGCCAACTCACACACAGCACCCCCAGAAACACACACAGCACCCCAGAAACACACACAGCACCCCCAGACACACTCACACACAGCACCCCCAGACACACACACATACCCCAGACACACACAGCCAACTCACACACAGCACCCCCACACACACACACACAGCACCCCAGACACACACTGCACCCCCAGAAACACACAGCACCCCAGACACACACAGCACCCCCAGACACACACAGCCAACTCACACACAGCACCCCCAGAAACACACACAGCACCCCAGAAACACACACAGCACTCCCAGACACACTCACACACAGCACCCCCAGACACACTCACACACAGCACCCCCAGACACACACACACACAGCACCTCCAGATACACACACAGCACCTCCAGATACACACACAGCACCCCCAGACACACACACAGCACCCCCAGACACACTCAGCACACCGAGGGACACACATAGCACACATATATATATATATATATATATACACACACACACACTACAGCACCGCTCACACTGCACCACTACACACATTACGCTCCAGATACACGCTAGATCCCTTACCCTATATGCACTCTAAATCCTCTGCACACACAATCTTCTATACACACTCTGGGTCCTTTACACACTAGATCTCTTACACACACACAGTGCTCCACCTACACACACACTACATTCCTTGTAAGGAAACACATACAACATTCTCTAAACACACCCTCTCTACAACCCCTACACACACTACATCACCTATACACACACTACTGCCCGTATGCACACACTCGCTACATCCCCTATAACACTATGCCCCTATACACGCACTCTCTACAGCCCCTAGCCACACATATTACACCACATATATTACACCTATTTACACAATACCACACCACACTCTACACACAGGCAATCCCACAAGCAGGCGCCAAACACATGCACCATACACTTTCCTGGCCCTTTTGTCCTCTGGTATCCCACTTGTGGAGACACCAGACACAATTTAAAAGCAAACACAGCGCAAGCATGTTATTACATTTGCTTGCGCTGCGCAGAACAAATACAGGGCCTTTTTCTAAAGCCAGAGCTCTTCAGCGGGGCTCTGCACATTGAACCAACATGCTCACATTGAGAGGGGGCGTGCTTGTCATTAGTGATGACAAAACACACCCTCTCTGGCCCCGCCCCCTTCTTGGGGGGCCGCTCTAATTGAAAAATGCCCGGGCCTAATTTTTTTCCCAGTCCGGCCCTGTGGTAAGGTATGTCTTTTTGCTGATGATACTAAGATATGTAACAGGGTTGATGTTCCAGGAGGAAAAGCCAAATGGCAAATGATTTAGGTAAGCTAGAAAAATGGTCAGAATTGTGGCAACTGACATTTAATGTGGATAAGTGCAAGATAATGCATCTTGGATGTAAAAACCCAAGGGCAGAGTACAGAATATTTGATAGAGTTCTAACCTCAACAACTGAGGAAAGGGATTTAGGGGTGATTATTTCTGATGACTTAAAGGTAGGCAGAAAATGTAATAGAGCAGCAGGAAATGCTAGCAGAATGCTTGGTTGTATAGGGAGAGGTATTAGCAGTAGAAAGAGGGAAGTGCTCATGCCTCACTTGGAGTATTGTACGCAGTACTGGAGACCGTATCTCCAGAAGGATATTGATACCTTAGAGCAGTGTTTCCCAACCCAGTCCTCAAGGCACACCTACCAGTCCAGGATTTAGGGATTACCCAGTTGTGTCTAAAGTGTTTTTTTTCTTCTTTGTAAAACACCTTAGACACAACTGGGTAATCCCTAAATCCTGGACTGGTAGGTGTGCCTTGAGGACTGGGTTGGGAAACACTGCCTTAGAGAGGGTTCAGAGAAGGGCTACTAAACTGGTTCATGGATTGCGGGATAAAACTTACCAGGAAAGGTTAAAGGATCTTAACATGTATAGCTTGGAGGAAAGGCGAGACAGGGGGGATATGATAGAAACATTTAAATACATAAAGGGAATCAGCACAGTAAAGGAGGAGACTATATTTAAAAGAAGAAAAACTACCACAACAAAAGGACATAGTCTTAAATTAGAGGGTCAAAGGTTTAAAAATAATATCAGGAAGTATTACTTTACTGAGAGGGTAGTGGATGCATGGAATAGCCTTCCAGCTGAAGTGGTAGTGGTAAAGGAGTTTAAGCATGCGTGGGATAGGCATAAGGCTATCCTAACTATTAGATAAGGCTAGGGACTAATGAAAGTATTTAGAAAATTGGGCAGACTAGATGGGCCGAATGGTTCTTATCTGCCGTCACATTCTATGTTTCTTTGTGTTTAATTTTATTTTCTATGTATAATGTGCTGAAACATTTCTCAGCACCGTACAATTTAGGGGATGTAGACCAAAAAAAAATGCTGACTTATCAATTTGAGTAGAATGGATTTTACAGCAATTATATAGAAACTTTAAGCATGGTTGGTAACACGTGAGCTTACAACCTAGAACAGAAAGATAGTGAGACAAAAGGCTGCAGCAGAAAGTGAGAATAGGCCACAGTAGGGACACTGTAGGTATTGTTTAGGTTGATAAATAATCGGGAACGTGAAATGAGAAAAATACAAATTTTCATATAAAATGTAACCTAGATAATTACTATGTGCATATACCAGGACATTAAAAATACATGATATAGGATAACTAAGATAATATGTTCAGAAAGCTATTGTAAGTTTTGACAGACCATCTGCTGAAATATACTTGTGAGGAGCATTTGCAATGGTGAGGTTCAAATGGGGATGTCGTAATGTGAGTCTGGTGGGAAAAAGTGGCAATGATGAGGTTCAGAGGAGGATGTTGCAGTGTGCGTCATGCTGGGAACAGCTGAAATGTTGAGGTTCAAAGAGGTGCTATAGTGTGCGTCTTGTGGGTAATAGTTGTAAGGGTTTAATTCAGATGGGGATGTTGCAATGTGAATCTTGTGTTGAGCAGATAAACTGTTGAGATACAAAGAAGGATGGTATATAGTGCTTCTTCTGTGGAACAGTTGTAAAGTTTATGTTCAAATGGGGATGTTGCAGTGTGAGTCTTGTGGGGAGCAGTTGCAATGGTGAGATTTACTTGATATAACCTTCTATTTCAATTTAAACAAATACAATGTTTCTTAGTGTGTTTACTCACATATTTTCCCGTGCGAATGATGAATCTCCTTTCCTAATGGTTAGGGAGAATTTTTTGGGATAGGAACAGATTTCCCAATAGGGAGAGTAGGTACCTGCCTACAACCCGTAGGGGGCACCTGTATACAGCACTTACAATGTGCCATTTTGGTGCTTAAGTACGCTGGTGGGAAGATGGGCACCATGAGCTTTGGCCAGTGTCCAGTCAGCTTCCTATGCTTGACTGCTGACTCCTTCGATCACCAAATCCCATTACCCTTCCATTCCCAATAAGTAATGCAACACCATGTTAAGGGGGTAAGGGCAACGGCCACAGCTTTATTTAACCCCTTAAGACCGGAGGGCGTACTATTACGCCCTATTTTAGGCGGCTCTAAACGCCGCTGGGCGTAATAGTACGCCCTCCGGTCTTTCATTACTTACCCGGTCACCGGCGGCCCCACGCCGGCGATTGCGGTTGGGGGGACTCCCAGGGAGCCTCCCCGCAGCAGATCTTCCTCCTGGCAGCCCCCCTGGCCATGTGAAAGTGAGGTCCTTGCAAGGACCTCCCAATCACATGGCCGGGCTAGCTGGCTGCTGCATTGCCAACAGGGGGGCTGCTTGTAATGACAGGTAGTCCCCCTGCTGGCTGGAAAAAAAAAAAAATTAAAGTTAAAAAGTGTAAAAAAAAAAAAAAAAAAGATATATACTTAGATCATATAGATCATATATATACATACACACACATACACTCTAGGTATATTTTACTATTAATATATATATATAATTATATATATATATATATATTAATATCAAATTACTCGTAGACGGATACTGATTAAATATATATATATAATTATTATTATATATATTTATATATAATATAAAAAAATTAAATATGTAAATATGTTAAAAAATTAAATTAAAAAATAATTAAAAAAATAATTAAAAAAATATATAGATGTGTGTTATTTCATTCTAACTGTATTGTGATATTGATATATATATTTATATCAAAATACACGTAGAACGAATATATCTATATATGTAAATATATACGTATATATCACTATATATACCTATATATAAATAAAAATATTTTAAAAATAAATAAATATATATATATATACACACACACACACACATATTAATTCTACATATATATTTATGTAATATTTTTACATAATTAGGTATCTTAATTAATTACAATTAGCGGGAGCTGCCTGACAACCCATGCCGAAAGTAAAGGGAATTTAATTTGCTAGCACTATATTTAACCCTATAACTTTCCAAGACACCATAAAACCTGTACATGGGGGGTACTGTTCTACTCGGGAGACTTCGCTGAACACAAATATTAGTGTTTCAAAACGGTAAAATGTATTACAACGATGATATCGCCAGTAAAAGTGACAGTTTTTTGCATTATTCACGCACAAACAGCACTTACACGGACGATATTATTGCTGCGATACTTTTTACTGTTTTGAAACACAAATATTTGTGTTCAGCGAAGTCTCCCGAGTACAACAGTACCCCTCATGTACAGGTTTTATGGTGTTTTCAAAAGTTACAGCGTCAAATATAAGGCTTGTGTTTCATTTTTTTCACATTAAAATTCGCCAGATTGGTTACGTTGCCTTTGAGACCCTATAGTAGCCCAAGAATGAAAATTACCCCTATGATGGCATACCATTTGCAATAGTAGACAACCCAAGGTATTGCAAACAGGGTATGTCCAGTCTTTTTTAGTAGCCACTTAGTCACAAACACTGGCCAAAATTGGCATTTTTTGCATTTTCACACACAAACAAATACTAACGCTAACTTTGGCCAGTGTTTGTGACCAAATGGCTACTAAAAAAGACTGGACATACCCCATTTGCAATACCTTGGGTTGTCTACTATTGCAAATGGTATGCCATTATGGGTGTAAATTTCATTCCTGGGCTACTATAAAGTCCCAAAGGCAACGTAACCAATCTGGCGAATTTCAATTTCAAATGTAACGTGCTACATTTGACCCTGTAACTTCCCAAAACGCCATAAAACCTGTACATAGGGGGTACTGTTTTACACGTGACTTTGCGGAGTACAATTTTTATTTAAAGTATTTTATTGCAGTAAAAGCAAACAGTATTATGACTGACAGTTAAAATGTCATGTAGAACTAAAAAAAATCTTATTTTCTCCCATTTTTTTCATATTAAATTATGTTTCATAGCTAAATATTTGATATTAAATGAAAGCCCTGTTTCCCCTGAATAAAATGATATGTAATAAGGGTGGGTGCATTTAATATGAAAGAGGTGAATTACGGTTGGACAGACATGTAGCGCAAATGCCAGGTTTTGTTTACATTTTGTTTTGTTCACAACGTGTACATTTGGCTCAGTCCTTAAGGGGTTAAACCAACATAACCACATACTGTCAGCTGCTGGTTTTACGCAGCAGACAGGTACACTTTAACCTTCTTCCAGAGCCTCTTCAGCCTGTCCTTCGTCATCAACCAAATTCAGGCTGCGACTCCTGAAGCCCATCCGAGCATTATTCATTTACCAAACTTGCTGGCGCAGGAAACCCACAGAGCTGTAGGAACAGTTAAAGAGGGTGTAAAACTCATTGCTGTCCCAACTCCTCTTAGTCTTTGTGTGAGACTAAGCCTTTCACACTGGAAATTAATTGCTGGAGGAGCAGGGACAGCCCTGAGTGAGGCACACTGTATAACCATTACTGCAGCTCTGCTATCAATAATAGGAGGCGGACTGTAATTTGCAAATAACCCTCAAATATTTCCATAGCCCTAAATGTAACCGTTTTCTCTGTTCCACATGTAAGCATACAAAGCTTAAACTTATAAATAAAAACCATTTACCTTAATTCTAGGTTTATTCACTCTTAAAAACTAAACACTCCATGTACCCCAATACTTACTTTAAGACAACTTTAACCCAAATGCAAAATGTAACCCTACACTAGCTGCCTAAATGCATATTTACTAAGGCCTGTATATATGGTTGTAGATATGTTTATGCCTGCAATGTCCAGTTAATAAATTAGTTAAAGGGGCACTGTGACGAGACCAATCTCGCCACATTGCATTGGAGAAGCCTGGTTGCTCGCCTGTTGCCTTTGGATTATGGCCCCATGCTAAAAGGCTTGATTTTCCCCTGCAAAGACATGAAAGCCGGGTCATTTAGTGCTTGCCCTGTGTGAGCGGTGATACCCCAGATAGCTATGCCATGGAGCCCATTCGTATAATGAAAGACTATGGGAAAGACTTTGGCTCCATGGCAATTGAACTGTATGTGTGTTCTCTGAGCGCCATTCAGTAATAAGGTGCACTCAGATCTGAACTATCTGGGGATATGTTGAATGTACCTGTTTTGTGCAATGGCTGCACAGTTATGTGTTTTATTGTCTTTTGCTGCCATGTGTTCAATGGTGTTTTGCCTCTGTCCTGGGAGATAATTGGATTACTTCCCAATTATCTCCAGGATAGAAGACTCTGTGGAACTGGTTTTGGGCAGAAAAGCCATGCTGCCTTTGGTCACAAAAGGACTACGATCTATCTTTTGAACCACTGGACCAATTTGGATGATTTTGACATATGTTTGTATTTGGGGTATGCTGATTCTGAATTTATGTGAATGTGATGCATACTTTAAGTTATGAATAATGTGGAAAAATTGTATTTCTCTGCTTGTGCTAATTACATTACCCATTGTGTAAGGTAATTGTAGCACAGGCAGAGGGGAGGATTTTGTGTGGGAGTGTCTGAGTGTATTGTATGTGTTTACTGGTTGTTTTCCAAAACCCTGTGGGTGGTACTAATGTGTATATAAGAACAATAAACCCACAGCTCTGTCTGTTCACTGCTTGACCCTCGTTCTTGGGGGATTTATTGTATGCTGTTCCAGTTTGACTGCTAGGAGAGTAAACCTATTCGTATGGTTTTTCCTATTCGGCTGTTTACAGCATTCATATGGTTTCCTGTTCGGCGGATTGGTGTTCTGCAGTAGCTGTGCCTGTGTCTCTGGAACGGGAAGATCTCCTAAACGGCAGTTTAACCCTTTTATGCCTGGGGGTGCCGTTACAGGCACTAAACATAGTAAATTAACTCCTAAATGACAGAATTGAGCAGTGATACTGCAGGGGCATGATCTATACACCAAAACTGCTTTGTTGAGCTAAAGTTGTTTTGGTGACTATGGTGTCCCTTTAAATTCTGTTTACCTGGAATTTAAAAATATAATAATATTTTGAGGGGAGGAAGCCAGGGGTGCATTGCAATTTCTACAGGCACCTGACATATAAATCCTGCCCTGCGCTGGGATGCATTAGAACGGTTAAGACAATTGTGTATACAGGCACAGACTGGAATTATCTACTCCTGTTGGAGACCTAAATCATTCTTTGTATGCTGCCTCTGGCTCTGACATGAGGAAATGATGCAGTTTCAACCCAATTAAATAATAATATGTTTGAATGATACAATGCATTATGACACTATTTCATAAGATAGTGTTGACAAATAAGCATTACCAATAAAATAAGGAATTTCACATCTCTTCACGGTTTTTGATTTTTTTAAACCACTGTTTTAAAATTGTGCATTATTTATGTAAATGGATTTTGGATGTGGGCTTGCTAAAAAAAAAAAAAAAAAAGCCCCAAAAAACCTACCCATTTAGCAAGTGAAGTGTTGTGAAAGAGTCACTAATGCATCTCCCCAGTTCCTTTCTCAGTGTGCCATTATTGGAAGCGAACTGTATTAAAATGGCAGCAATTGCTGCTTTGCAGTTTCACTCCCACCAATTGTGAACAGCCTACACTAGCCGTAACCCTAATTAAATATGTAAAAATAAATCAAGAAATAGAAAAGATATATAAAACAAAACAAAAAAATGAATGCCATCATCTGGTTCTGGAGACATTCATAAACCTCCCAGAACATTTTTCTTCATAATACATATACAACATATATGTAAATAAATGACACACACTGATAAAAAGGCTGTAATCCTTTGTTAAGCGAATGGTTTATGGATGCAACCTTCAAACTGAACTTTATACTGTCAGTTATGGTTTTATTTCACATTCACAGAGCAAGTCACTAAACTCAGAAGTTTAGGAAATTAAATACAAATGGCTAAACTGAGTCTAAAATAGGTGATTTGAAAAATTCTCTAACTATGGTTAGAAAATTTGAGACATTCTATATAGCTATAGTTATTGCTTAGCTACTTTGGCCTCAGTTTTGCTATTCATATTGTCTGGAGACTGGAGACTTTTCAAAGACCACCAATGGTGACAATGCAGATTGGCGTACAGTGTAAAGCAGAGGTTCTCAACCTAGTCCTCAAGGACCCCCTACCAGTCCAGGATTTAGGGATTACCTGGGTGTGTCTAAGGTGTTTAGAAAAAGAAAAAAAACACACCTTAGACTCTAAGGTTTTTTCTTTTTCTAAACACCTTAGACACACCCAGGTAATCCCTAAATCCTAGACTGGTAGGGGGTCCTGAGGACTGGGTTGAGAACCCCTGGTGTAAAGGGAGGCAGGTAAAGGTGAGTTCTCCTTACCTGACCATGTCCTTCACTGGAGCCGCAATCTTCTACCAGCAGGTCCACTTCAGCTCCTGGCACTCCATCTCCAGGAACCAACGTCACTGCTGAACACATGTATGAGAGTACAGCATTGAGGTCTATGGAGGATCCCACAAGACAGCATGATCGTCCATAGATACAGCCAATTCCCTGCAGCCATCACTAAGCTAAGGGATTGACACTTCTAGATGACGGTAGCGCTGCCCAGTGTCTAGAAGTGGCAGGTGTAGGAAATATACAGAGACAAACTAGTCCTTACTTACTGTCAGTAGATCTCTTGACTGGATTGGCATTTCAGAGTAAAGATTCTCTCTTTAAAAAATCTGCCCATTATTTCCATGGACATAACGTGTTTTAGGTTCAAATTGTTTTATGAGGCAAGAAGGCAGGAGAACATAGAGCAATCATAACTCTCGTATATATTCATCAGGGAGGTCACAAATTACAGAAAGCCTCACATTTTTCCCTGACCACCACCCATAAATGTCTCAATTGGTCCTGTGTGAAGGGAGCAAGTGTGATTAGGGATTTTTCTAGCATCGGAGAGGGAATAATCTAAATTTTATTAAAGACAGGAGGCTTCATATTTGCTTAATCTTCTTTACTGAAAACCTCCAGCAGGAAAAAAATAGTTAACATAACAAAACAACCAATCAGAACAAAATAACATTAGTATAAAACCACTTAGGCAGACCCTCCCATTTCCTCTTTCTTTGATGAGGTCGAGCATGAAGACCGACGAAAACCAACTGTAGTAGGTACACTCAGATGAGAAACCGCCATAACCAGAATAAATCCAGATTACACTGCAAGGAAAAAAACATTGTGAAAGTATACTGCCAAAGCAGAATGTCATGCCATACATATCAGAACATCAGAGGAATATGATTTGATGAAGAAGAGCAGACGGACAACCAAAACCGCAGTACAGAAAATATATTTATTAGTCAAACATGATACCATACATTACCAAAAATACAACAATACTCCCAATTAACCCCTTAACGCCGTTATGGCGTTCTATGCTGTCCCGCTTTAATTGGGCTTTAAAGCCGTTGCGGCGGCATAGAACGCTGTAACGGCTGAAGCCCCTGGAGCACCCGGGATACTTAGCTACCTGGCGCTCAGCTTCGGGAGGACTGCCTCACAGCCCAGGCAGCCCTCCCACGGCAAAAGAGGCCCCCGGGGGCCATGTGATCGCTCTCAAAGAGCGATCACATGGCCCCCTATAGCTGGCTGTAGATCTGCCAGCAGGGGGACTGTCTGAAATGTCAGACAGACAGTCCCCCTGCTGGTGGGTAGTAGTAAAAAAAAATTATTAAACGTGTAAAATAAAATAGAAATATATTTATATATATATAATAGATGTATAAATTTGATTGACATGCCTGACAACACAGGGAGAAAGTGCAGAGAATTTAATTCGCAAACACTATATTTGACCCTGTAACTCTCCAAGACACCATAAATATATTTGTGTTTAGTGAAGTCTCCCGAGAATAACAGTACCCCCCATGTACAGGTTTTATGGTGTTTTGGAAAGTTAGAGAGTCACATATAAGGTTTGCATTTCATTTTTTTGACATTTAAATTTGCCAGATTGATTATGTTGCCTTTGAGAACGTATGGTAGCCCAAGAATGAGAAATACCCCCATGATGACATACCATTTGCAAAAGTAGATAACCCAAGGTATTGCAGGTGGGGTATGTCCAGTCTTTCTTAGTAGCCACTTAGTCACAAACACTGGCCAAATATTCGTTTTTTGCTTTTTTCACACAACAAATATGAACGCTAACATTGGCCAGTGTTTGTGACTAAGTGGCTACTAATAAAGACTAAACATATCCCACTTTCAATATCTTGGGTTGTCTACTTTTTCAAATGGTATGCCATTATGGGGGTAATTCTCATTCCTGGGCTACCACACCGTCTCAAAGGTAACATTACTAATCTGGCAAATTTCAATTTGAAAATGGAACGTTCTATATTTGACCCTGTAACTTTCTAAAACACCATAAAACCTGTTAATGGGGGGTACTGTTGTACTCGTGAGACATCGCTGATTACAAATATGTGCATTTTTTTGCAGTAAAACCTAACAGTATTATGATATTCACAGCTAAAATGTCAGACGGAAATACAAATTTAAAACAAAATCTTATTTTCTCACATTTTTTTTAAATTTTATTCATAATAAATTATGTTCCATATATGAATACTTAATGATAAATTAAAGCCCTATTTCTCCTGAACAAAATGATATATAATAAGTATGGGTGCCTATAAGATGAAAGAAGGGAACTACGGGTATACAGACATAGTGCAAATTCCAGTTTTTGTTTACGTTTTGTTTTGATCAGAACGTGCACTATTGACTCCGTCCTGAAGGGGTTAACAGAATAGCAAAAAATCCCATACCAAGGAGGGAAAACATCAAAAGGGTGGGAAATATTCGCATCCAGTCCATAATAAAATTTAGATTATTCCTTTACCAAGGCTAGAATAATCCCTAATTTTAAGGCAAGACAGAAGGCTTCATATTTACAATTTTAACGCCGAGACATAAAAGCAGAAGAAACAGAAGATCGCAGCCGAAAATAAAAAGTACGGAAAGTCGATTTTCTAGACCAGTCAGCTGTGCCGAGAATATCCGTAAGGGACCCACCGGCATCTAGGGCTGCCAAAGCTGTAGCACTCCGAACCGAGCTTGCTCCAAAGGAACTTCCCACGCCCGCCAATGAAAGAACCCATCGAATACAACGAGCGATCGTAGGTGCAGAAACAGCCCTAAACGGTCAAACATAGGAAATAAATAGCTGTCCATGTGCAGAGGGCCGAAAGCACGGACAGACACGTCCGTAGACAACGAGCCACACAGAGACCTGGTCTATCCGGTAATTAGGGATACGACACTAAAGACGAATTAGGATTTTGTTCTGCGTGAAATGGAAACAGACACACCGTCTGGAGAAAGGAAGAAAGATTCTACATCAAAAGCTCGAAACGACATGAGGCATAACAGTAGAGCCAGTTTAGCAGAAAGTTGGCAAAGAGATAAGTCTCCGTTATCAGGCCATTCCTCGAGGAAGCGCAAAACAAGCGAAACATTCCAAAATGAGGAACAGTGAGAAGTAGGTGGCCTCGAAAGGCGAACACTTCGTAACAGTCTGCAGACCGAGGGGTCCTTACCAACGGCAGAACCTTGAGAAGGTACATGAGCCGCCGATATAGCCAAACGGAATACAACTTACCCTGAGAGAACTACTCCGCCAGAAAGCTCAGGACAGCCATGATAGGAGCCGTAAAGGGATCCAAGCGTCTCTCCAGACACCAGCCATGCCAGGATCGCCAGGCATGCAGATATGATCTTCTGGTGCCAGGCACCCAAGAGTCCCAGAGTAACTCCCTAGCCGTTTTCGAATGGCCCGATATCCCAGGAACCCTTTAAACGGTCCAGGCCACCAGCGACAGATGACCCTCTAAAACCAACAGATGTGTGTTCTCCAGAAACCTGGAGACAGGTAAAAGAAGTGGGTCTTCGTACAATAACTCCAGCAGTAGAGGGAACCGTAGTTGACTCCTCCAAAGCGGTGCGATCAGGAGAAGCGACACTTTCAGAAGCTTGATCCGGTGTAATGTCCGGAGGATCATGGAGAAATGCGTCCACCTCTTCACTGAAGGGATCCGGGAGCCAACTGAAGAATAAGTCCGTTTGGCGATTTGCACTGGATATGAACAGATCCAGGTGTAGGGGACCCTGAAGGGAATCCAGCATCCGAAATCCTGAATGGTGTAATTGCCAATCGCTGGCGTCTCTCCAGTGTCAGGAAAACCAGTCCGCCACTAGATTGTCCGGGCCTGGGAGGTATTCCACTACAATCGATAAGTTCTTGTCCAGACAATACTGGTAGAGGTCCCTCGTCAGATCTGACAGCAGTTTGGATTGGGAACCTCCGAAGCGGTTTATGTTTGGGAACCTCCGAAGCGGTTTATGTAGTGTACCGCTGAGATGTTGTCCATGCGTAGAAGCAGCGAGCAATGACTCATCCCTTTGGTGAAACTCCAAATGGCGAAAGACCCCACAATCAGTTTCAGACAGTTGATGTGAAGGGTCTTCTCCTCTGGGGTCCAGAGTCCTCCAGTCGCCTCGCCACGCCATCGCAAGCAGTGCCCGAGGCCAGACAGCTGGCATCTGATTCCAGGACGAAGTTTGGTCGGAATCCGAATATCGCCATGCTGTTCCAGGCCTCCATGTGTCGAAGCCACCAGTGGAGTTCTAGACTGGCCTCGTCCGAGAGACGTACTACTAGGTCGTAGGAGACCGATGACCTGAGATATTGTGCCTTCAGACGTTGTTGAGCCCGATAGTGTAGGGGTCCTGGGAATATGGCTTGGATGGAGGATGACAGCAGTCCTATCGTACGCGCCAGATACCTCAGCGTGGCCTGTGAGTTGCATAGCAGATGTCTTATATTCTTCCTGATACCTTGGACATTAGAAGGCGGAGCACTGCCTGAAACGAATCCACCATGAATCCCAGGAACTGGACTGACCGAGAGGGGGTCAGTTCCGATTTCTCCATGTTGATGACGAACCCTAGGTCCTGGAGTAGGTGGATCTTGAGCTACATCTGTCGGCGCAAGACGTCCAGATCCTGTGCCATCAACAGAATATCGCCTAGACAGGCGATTGATCTGATCCCCTGGCCCTCAGAGTCGCCATAACCAGTTTCAACAACTTGGTGAAGCACCAAGGAGCCGGACTGAGACCAAATGGAAGGCATGTGAACTGCCAGGGAAACTGAAGGAAACACCTGTCGTCACGGTGGATCGGTACCGTGAGATAGGCATCCTTCAGATCTAGCCGGGAGAACCAGTCTCCTTCGCAAATCAGGTCTCTTAAGAGACATTATGACAGACACTGGGAGACATGGGGACACTGGGAGATGTCCCCAAGTCTCCCAGCCAGTGTCCCTGGTGTCTTAGTCAGTGTCCCTAGTGTCTCAGTGTCCCCATGTCTTCCAGTTCCCCCAAGTGTGTCAATGTCCCCATGTCTCCCAGACAGTTTCCCTAGTGTCTGTGTCCCTGGTGTCTCAGTGCCCCCATGTCTTCAAGTGTCCCCTATTTTCCCAGAGTCCCCAGTGTCTCCATGTGTCCCAGTGTTCCCAGGTCTCCCAATGTGCCCTGTCTCTCAGTGTTCCTAGTGACATGGGGACCCTGGGAGAAATGGGGACAGACACTAGCGGGCACAAAGATGTGGGAATACTTGGGGACACAGGGAAACTGGGTGACATGGTGACACAAGAGGACACTGGGAGACATAGGGCATTGAGACACTGATACATAGGGACACGACACTAGGGGACACTGGGACATGGGGCACTGAGACACTGATACATAGGGACACTGAGACCTGGTGTAATCGACACATGAGGACACAGCCATGAGGGCACTGGGAGACATGGGGGCACTGGGAGACTAGGACACACTGATACATAGGGAAACAGATAGTGGGAGACTTGAAACACTGGGGGACAGGGAGCAATCCAGCTATACAGCAGAATCAAACTAAGTAGTTTTTTGGTGATTTTACAGCATTTTCTCTTATGTCACTCCTTGTGATTTGCATCTTGTCACCCATACATAAAAATAATTATGCAAATTAATAAGGCTGGTATGTTTTTCCAAGAAAGGTGGCAACCCTAACTACTTTTCACATACTCTTGCTTAAGTATGGAAACTTAAGAGGGATGTAAGGGAACAAAACTAATTAAATTAGTTAAGGTAATGCTGACTTTGGTCTCTAACACTGTGGCATGTTCCCTTTCTTCTACACTCACTACATAAAGCTTTTCTCTGTCCCAGAAGCTTCTGCCTGCTAGTAAGAAGGTAAGGTGACATATGGTTCAGCGAGTGCTAGGTACAGTCCTTAGAAAGCATTGAGCGAGCACATCACTGGACGCTCAGGGTGCTGTTTGCATAGTATGCCCTTAGTTGGCCAGCTTGCATGATTGGCAGCAAGCCTGACATGCATTCATGCCAGGCTGGCTTTCCAATTCTTTTGGGCATGTTCACCCTTTTGGCTGGTTACGTGATTTGCATCAGTGGCACACCCTTTTACCATTCCCATTGACTATCCACCCGTTGCCCAATAACACACGTCAGACCTTGTTATGTTGGATAAGGGCAACAGCCACAGCTTTATTGCCAGCAAGTATTCACCACTGTCGGCTGTTGGGGTGGTTCACCAACAGACAGGTCTATCCGCTTAAACCATGAGTCCGGACCAGCCTGCCTTCGCCATCAGCTCCCGGCAGGCTGCGACTCCCCAAGCCTCCTCAGCACCTTCTTCTGCCTATGACTTAGGATCCCTGCACATTTCCAAGCTGACTGGTAAGTCACCCCACCCAGCTGTCCCGTATATATATCCAGTACCCATATTGTTATAATGTATCCATTTTGTCCCATCCCCTTATCTCTGCATCAGTCATGTCCCCCTCTTCCTTATCAGTCCAGGGAGGGTCTTTCCGGAATCTTTGGATGTCAGTATACATCCAGAGATAGTGGAATACATCCATCTCCTCTGGACCACATTTTGGACAGCTAAGTGTATTCAGGACATGCAAATGATGTTGACATCATGTTTTTTAAAATTGTACTTTACGGTTTGACTGCCATTATACAGTCCTCTAATTTTATGACAGCATCACAGGATACATGTCAGCCTGACAAATATTAAAGTAAAATTTCTAATCCGTATCTCCTACTTGTAGCTGCCTCCATTAATTTATTTCTCTCCTGAAATGAACCGTGTAGACAGAACAGGGCCGGTGCAAAGAATTTTGGGTACATAGGCGAAGATGCATTTTTCGCCCCCAAAAACATCTTCACCCATGTGCCTCTTAACCTCCCTTTTGTGTTTCTTATCCCGTCTTTTAAATATCTGACTCCTTTTGCCTTTGTCTGTCTCCTATCTCTCCTCTTTGTATGACTCTTACATCCTCCCACATTTTGTGTCTTACTCCTCCCAGCCCCTTTGTGTGACTCCTTTTCTCCCAACCCCTTTGTGTCTTTTATTCTTCCCAGCTCCTTTGTGTCTCTTTCCTTCTCAAACACCGGTGTGTGTTTCTTTCACGTCCAGCCCCTCTCCCTGTCCCTTAATGGTCCCCTCCCTTCTCTGACCCTTACTGTTCCTCTCCCCTCTCTCCTCCTTTTCCTGTTCCTCAGTGTTCCTTTCCCTTAGTGTTCCTCTCCCCTCCCCCCTCTGTTCCCTGTCGCTTAGTGTTCCTCTCCCCCCTCCCTCCTTTTCCTGTACCTTAGGGTATCTCTCCCCTCCTCTCCCTGTCCCTTGGTGTGCCACCCACCCCCATAGTGGTCCCCTCCCCTTCCTGGTGTGCCTCCTACTTTTCTTGTAGCGTGGCTGAGCGGAGCGAATCCCGGTACAGTGAGCTTTTCCTGTCAGTCCTTCCAGGTACAGGAAACAGTACTCCGCTTGGCCACGCTACAGTCAGGGGTGTATAAACACTGACAGTCACACACTCAGTGACAAACACAGACATCTCTGACAGCCAGACTCACTTATCTGACACACTCATTCACTGAGAGACACTCACACACACACACTGACAGACACACACACACTGACAGACACACTCACACACACACACAGTGACAGACACACACACACACACACACACTCACTGACAGACACTCACACACACACTGACAGACACTCACACTGACAGACACACAGACACTCACACACACACTGACAGACACTCACACACACACACACACACACACACACACTGACAGACACACACTGACAGACACACACACACACACACACACAGACACTCCACACACACACACTGACAGACACACTGACACTCAGACACACACTGACAGACTCACACACACACACTGACAGACACTCAGACACACAAACACTGACACTCACACACACACACACACACACACTGACAGACACTCAGACACACACTGACAGACACACATACACACTCACAGACACGCATACTCACACACACTGACAGACACACTCACTCACACACACTGACACTCACACACACACTGACAGACACTCAGACACACACTGACAGACACACATACACACTCACAGACACACTCACAGACACACAGACACTCACACACACTGACACACACACACAAACTCACAGACACACATACTCATATGCACACACACTGACAGACACACACACACAAACTCACAGACACACATACTCACACACACTCATATGCACACACACAAACTCACAGACACACTCACAGTAATTAATCATCTAAATTAAATTTAAATTTCCCACCCAGCCTCCCTACCTGGAGAGCTGGCGTGGGTCTCTCATTGGTGGTCCAGTGGGGCTGCTGGGAGGCGTGCGGCTGAATTGGATGCCTAGGGAGCTCTGATCTCTCTGATCTGCTCTCTCGCAGGCTGTTTACTGATGACGTCATATTCCGGCTCCCGCGGCATCAGTAAACAGCCTGCGAGGGAGCAGATCAGAGAGATCAGAGCTCCCTCGGCATCCAATTCAGCCGCACGCCGCGCAGGGGATCCAGGAGGTGACCTGGCAGGAGGGAGCACTTCCCTCCTGCCGGTCACCGGAATTTTGCGCCCCCAGAGCCAGTGCGCCCTAAGGCGGCCGCCTGTGCCGCCTTATGGACGCGCCGGCCCTGAGACAGAACCAGTGCCTCCCCAGCTCCTGTCCTGTTATATTATTTTTGGGAAAGGAGCTGAATTAGCTGTTGCAGTTGCATTTAAAAATAAACAACATAGAATACATAATGTTTAGACCTGTATTAAGAGAAAATAATGCCATATCAATCTTGTGGTGTATTATAATGACTCCAGAATCTACCAATAGCATTATTTTCTTTTTAAAAAAGGTTTATGATTTTGTTTTGTTATATCTTCTTTATTTAGTGACAACATATCCCTTGGTGCTGCCTAAATTAAGAGTGAGGTTGTTAATAAACACAATACAAAAAACATTTATATTTAAATGTTCACTAGGAGTTAAAGGACCACTCTAAGCACCCAGACCACTTCAGCTTAATGAAGTGGTCTGGGTGCCAGGTCCAGCTAGGGTTAACCCATTGTTTTATAAACATAGCAGTTTCAGAGAAACTGCTATGCTTATCAATGGGTTAAGCCTTCCCCCAAAGCCTCTAGCGGCTGTCTCATTGACAGCCGCTAGAGGCGCTTGCGTGCTTCTCACTGTGATTTTCACAGCGAGAGCACGCCAGCGTCCATAGGAAAGCATTAATAATGCTTTCCTATGAGACCGGCTGAATGCGTGCGCAGCTCTTGCCGCGCGTGCGCATTCAGCCGACGAGGCGGAGAGGAGGAGGAGAGCTCTCCGCCCAGCGCTGGAAAAAGGTAAGTTTTAACCCCTTTCCCCCTTCCAGAGCTGGGCGGGAGGGGGTCCCTGAGGGTGGGGGCACCCTCAGGGCACTATAGTCCCAGGAAAACGAGTATGTTTTCCTGGCACTATAGTGGTCCTTTAAAGGCCTTGCATATGACCTAATAATCTAGCATGCCACCACTTTTATGCAAATTCTGCTGCAGTAAGGAATGGCTTATAAAGGCCCTGTTGGTGAGCTTACATACTAAAAGATTGATTGAAATAGACGAGTTACAAATTTCTGCCCTAGTCAATGTTTAATGCTATAAGGAACAGGCTCTCCTTGCCTCAGTAACAGAACCCATATTAACCTGAATGCTGGTAATTTGGCATGAACATGTAGGCTGAGGGTAAGTAGTAACCCACTTCCTCTTTTCCAATGGGCAACAAAACAAAACTTCAGGGCACGGCTGTTGCTGAATAGATTTTAACCACTTTAATAGAAAAAGGATGATATAATTATAAATTAAAAATACAGTGTTGGAAAACATTCCGACGTTAAAAAACAAAACAAAAAAACCCACATTATTATAATGTAAAAAATGTGGGGAAGAGAAAGTGCAAACATAACAGTGAACATTGCATTATGGGAAAATAGTGACTGGTTCTGGAGATGATATGTTAAACCATGAAACCGAATCATGTGGTTTTCTCAAAGTATCCAGAGCCCCATTATGCATCATTATCCATTAAAACACACATCACTTTCGTGTATCCTTTCTACAACATGTTATTTTTAGAGTAGGGTTTGTATAAGTGCTAAGGTAATACGGAGATTACTGGGTTGATGTTCTAGGAGGGATAAGCCAAATGGCAAATGATTTAGGTAAACTAGAAAAACGGTCAGAGCTGTGGCAACTGTAATGTGGATAAGTGCAAGATAATGCATCTTGGACGTAAAAACCCAAGGCAGAGGTTAACCTCAACATCTGAGGAAAGGGATTTAGGGGTAAATTTTTCAGATGCCTTTAAGGTAGGCAGGCAATGTAATAGAACAGCAGGAAATGCTAGCAGAATGCTTGGTTGTATAGGGAGAGGTATTAGCAGTAGAAAGAGGGAAGTGCTCATGCCATTGTACAGAACACTGGTGAGACCTCACTTGGAGTATTGTACGCAGTACTGGAGACCGTTTTTCCAGAAGGATATTGATAGTTTGGATAGAGTTCAGAGAACGGCTACAAAACTGGTTCATGGATTGAAGGGTAAACCTTACAAAGAAAGGTTAAAGGATCTTAACACGTATATTTTGGAGGAAAGACGAGACAGGGGGGATATCATAGAAACATTTAAATACATAATGGGAATCAACACAGTAAATAAGAGAAGAAAAACTACCAGAACAAGAGGACATTGACTTAAATTAGAGGGGCAAAGGTTTAAAAACAATATCTGGAAGAGTTACTTTACAGAGAGGGTAGTGGACGCATGTAACAGTCTTCCAGTTGAAGTGGTAGAGGTTAACACAGTGAGGGAGTTTAAGCATGCGTGGAATAGGCATAAGACTATCCTAGCTATAACATAAGGCCAGAGACTCCGAAAGTATTTAGAAAATTGGGCAGACTAGATGGGCCGAATGGTTCTTATCTACCATCACATTCTATGTTTCTAATGGTCATAGGCGTGCGCACGGGGTGTGCTGGGTGTGCCTAGGCACACCCTAATCCCCGCGGCACGCACTATGTGCCTCCCTCCGTGGGCAGGTGAGGGAGATCAAAGATCTCCCTCACCTAACCACAGGCATGGAGGAAGGCAGGAGAGGACCAGGGGAGCTCATGCCAGCAGCTCCGCCGGGTTCCTCTCGCGTGATCGGAGCACAGATCTCGCTAGAGTGAACTGCACCCTTACATACACAGCACTCACTAACTGCACCCTTACACATACACACACTAACAGCACCCACACACACACACACACACACACACACAGCACCCTTACACATACACACACTAACAGCACCCTTACACACACAGCACACTAACAGCACCCACACACACTAACAGCACCCTTACACACACAGCACCCTCACACACACAGAGTGCCCGCACACACAGCAGTATGTGTGTGTGTGTGTATATATATATATATATATATGCGGCGTGTGTTTCTGCTTTAGGGTGCACACCCTTATACAATAGGCTGCGCACGCCTATGCTAATGGTTAGTAATAGTGTCATGTAAGGATTAATGCATAGTGTAGGGACTTTACTGTCAGGCTGCCAGGATCCTTATTCAGGTGCAATAAGATGCCGTAGGTATTTAATACACTTGTCTTGAGAAGATGCCTGCTCCTATCAGATTTCATGAGTGACAGCTGAGGAGGAAATTATAAGATACAGTAGTTTATTACAGCTGCATATTTTGCTAAAAGTAACCTCGCACAGAAGACAATGTTCCTACATTCTTTTAATATCTTTTGATTGCATTTCTGTGAACTTGCAATTCAGCATAAGTAGTTTTCACAAGAATTCTATTTTTAAGAAAAACATAAGTGACTGCAAGCCTTTAACCATGGCAATGTATGAATAATGCACACCTTTCTCTTGCTTCTTTAAAATGCTTGCCTGAGTTGCAGAATATATACACAATGTAGAGAGATATTCCACAGATAAACTGAGTTTGGAAGTTATTCACACCTGCTCCATACCTCTCTCCGCAGGAGGTCACAATACAGAGGTTTTCTTCGATGCCAGGTAAGTTGGTAAGGTCTGCAAAAGCTGTTTATGTAGTGAGGTTTTCCAAATAGGTATATAAAGTATTATTTTGGTGAGGAGAGTGTGTGTAGTCAATGAGAATATTGGAGGAGATAACCCCTGTACAGTACAATGTTTTCCATTATCGTTTGCTAGTTTTATTTAGGCACACACTAGGGGACTGTAGCTTGTTCTGATGTCTCTAACCTGGTGGTAAATCCATATCAAATAATGGGAAGAGATCTGTATCAGAAATAGATGAGGAAACTGACTGGGCCTTTACACACAGTGCAAACAGGGAACAGAATGGAAAACACTTGAGACACAAAAGGAAATAACAAGTATGGGGTGAGAACCACTGTCTCAGTATAACGGCTGGCATGGAGATATAAATAAACTTGTTAGGGAGGCAAGCGCTGAAAATGGTAATCATCAGCGGATAATACAAATATAATAAAACAAAAGTCACGAATCTGGTTAGAAAATATAGTCAACCCCAATCCTTCTGTTGACTGACAAGTTAGTACTAAAAATAAAAAGTCATAAAAGTTAGGAGAACTTGGGATATAAAGAAAAGCACACAGAGAAATATATTAGTGTATGTGCAGATCAGAGCTTTGATGACATTGTACCCAACACAACCATAAATGCAAAAGTCCCTATGTGTACGTCTGTGCATATGTAAATTCTAAGAGCATGATAGATGTGACCCCTGTCAGGGAGCTTGAAATGCCAGGGTTAGGTTTTGTAATGGAAGAGAAAGGTGTAGAGGTGTTTGGCATGTGCTTGGAGGCAATTAAAAATATATTTAGCGTATGCTATAGGAAGAGAGCGGGTGTGGTTCTTTAGATGATGTGCATATTAGAATATGCTAGTCTGTATGTTTTTCTGCATAAACAATTTTGATAATAGCTTGATAGAATTTCCTGAAAGAAAAGAGAATTATTTTTGTTAAATTATTTTAATTGTATACTAGTATCTCCAGGAGGATCAAACACTCAGAGGGACCATTCTAACATTCTACACACAAAAAATTCCACTGACTTAAAAGAGGTGAGTAACACTGAATCTCATTCTGTTATGTCTCCCTAACTTTTTAATAGTCCTTACTCATTCCTAGCAGTCTCTCTTCAGTGAGGGTTGGCTTCACATACCTACTATATTGAGATCAAGTGGTGACTGTTGAAGTTTTAAGACTGTAGGTGCCAGACTCCTTCCCCAGAATTTTACTCATCCCTATACTGTACACTTACATTTGGCAGGGGCTCCCTGAGCAGCTTCCAAGATGTTTTTTTGCTTTTCTCTCTCCTGTGGGCACTGTAACCCCACCCCCTGGTGCTATGAGTCAATGATAGCCCCTGAATAGAGAGGCCAATGATAGCCCCTGGTGCTATGAGTCAATGATAGCCCCTGAATAGAGAGGCCAATTGGATGCCTCCACGCATGAGCAGCTGGCTCTGCTGCTCATGACAACTCAATGGAAATTCCTTCTTAAAGGATACTAGGCATGTGCAAAACCTACTGAATCAGTGCAGATTTCAAACCAGCACTGTTTTTGGCATGCCTAGATGCTCTAAAGTAAGCTTCTCCAAACAGCTACCAATGAGGGGGTTGGGGCCATGTAAAACTAAAACCTATTGCAGAATTTAAGAGACACTAATGTTTTCCCATATATTTTTGCTTACACCCCTCTCCCTCAGAAACAGAATACTAATGTTTCTAAACAAATGCAAATAATTCTCCCCTCCACAAACACACACCTAAAAACTGGTGGGGTGCTGCACCCAAGAGTCCCTATGTACTAGCCCCCACTGCTGGGATCCACATTCTAGTCTGACTGGTAGGCTAATGCTGCTATTATAATAATCATCCAGCAGGTGGCCACATCGCTTAACTTTCACTATTTCAGGGGATCCAAAAAACTCACCCTGTGATCTATTCAAACTTTTTTACTCAACTGCAGAATCACACTTTCCAAGATCATAAAAACAGCAAAACTAAAGGGATATAAATATATATAATATATTTCCTGTAGGATGAATCATTGAGCTTGTAAAATGTAAGGACAATATAACACATGAAATGCACTGACTATGCCCTTTCGGTAAAAACGTTTAATGTTAGAATGTAGTTTACGTTGTGCTGATGAGCCCCAAAGGATGGACCTGCAAAAATCATGGTTGGTCATTCGTTTACTGTGTAGAATTATTTGAAACTATGTTTAACAATAAGCAAGATGAGGCATGCTCTAGTGACATGCCCCAAACCTAAAGTACACCCAGGTATTTCTTATAAAGAGATATGTAGCTGTCTAATCTGTAACACTCCAAATCCTTACTGCTAGAGGCTGTTTTTGACACTGTTTTAATTCAGGCCTTAGTGAAAAGAACTGTCTTCTCTAGTGTCTGTGGACTTGCTATTGCTTTTAGCCTTTAAACTGTCTCTTTGTGCTGATGTCTCATACTCACCGATGTGTCTCTTGGTTTCTCCTTTAGATAGCAAAAGCTGTGGTAAAGTTTAATTTTGTGGCTCAATCATCAAAGTGAGTATTCAGCACATTCCCTTCTATTATTACATATTGTAAACGTAATTGTAATTACTGGCGTGATTACTTTAATGAAAATGGAACTGTAACTAAATAATTACAGCAGAATGACTAATCCACAACAGATTGCAATTTCTGTGGTTAAGACTATGGGGCCTAAAATTATTTCAAGCTCTCTGGAAAGTACTACCTTAAAGTGACACAATAAGCACCCAGGCCACTTCAGCTCATTGAAGTGGTCTGGGTACAGTGTCCCTATTGCACTTAGTGCTGCAATGTAAAACATTGCAGTTCCAGAGAAACTGCAATGTTTCCATTGCAGCTCTCAGGCTGCCTCCAGAGGCTGTCTCCCAGACAGCCACTGAAGGGGCTTTCTGCATTGTAACGGACCTTTGGTCTGGTATCTGACGAAGGACATCCTCACGCTCTGCAGGAGGACAACCAGCGTCAGATTTTTCCCCATAGGAAAGCATTGAATCAGTTCGTTTCTATGGGGAGATCTAAGGCGCGTGCAGCATTTCACGTGCATGAACATAACCGCCAGCACTCTGTAGTGGTTATGGTGCCAGGAGTTGCCTGACGCACCATCACCCCTCCCTATTCAAAGTAGCTAAACTGTTTTATAACTTCTTGACGTTTGACTTCTTACCTAGGGTCTAGTAGACGCCAATCCCAGTCTCCACTACATCTGACAGAGCCAGGAGCTTCCAATACTTCTCCTAAGATAAGCCCACTGACTGTGTAAAATATTGCCTTTTCAGAGAAACAGCAATATTTACATATGGCCACAAACAAACTTCTAATGAGACCCGCTAGAGGTGCTTCCTGATTGAAAGGTGTTTTAATTAACTTTATTCCAGCACCATGTAGGTCTTCTTGTGGCTGCCCTGCATCTGCTCTGCCTCCTTGGCTGAGATCATCAAATTTGGTGGTTTGAGCCAACCCAATGCTTTCCTATTGGAAAAAAATGCAGTGCTGCTCCACTTAGATGCTCCAATCAGCATCTCCACTTAGACAGGGAACATTCAACACCTCCATGCAGAGTGTGGAGACTGAAAATCAGAACTGACCCAGAAAGCACCTCTAGTGGCTGTCTGAGTGACTAACTAGAGGCAATACTAGGCACCAATGTATACAATGCCTTTTCTCTGGTGTCTATAGCCTGCAGGGACAGGCTATAGACACCAGAACAACTACATTAAGCTGTAGTTGTTTTGGTGATGATAGTGTCCCTTTAAATGTAAATATATAAATATTTTTAATGTTGGTGTTCCTTCAAAGCAAAGTTTTACCTAAAGAGCTTGCAATAATTTTATGTATTCAAAAACACAATAATCCCTCTTATTTACATGTTTATATGGCTGCCAGGGACAACTGCCCATTTTTCCCTGTGGTTTTGACAGCCCCGGTACACTTGTCTACTTCTACGATACAGAAATCTGAATCTGCTCAATTAATACAAGGCAAAACAGTCCATTTGCAGGATATCACGTTTTGCTCAAATTAGTGATAAATATCCTGTCTCAAAAAGCAATGGGATTTATTTCATTGGATCATTATCTGTATGCAATTTTATTTCTATTCTACAACATGTATGTATCTTTTTCTAAAATATACTGAACTTATACTTAAAGGTATGTACAGAATCCAGGAGAATATATATATAAAATATATATATTCCCCTGAAATATATATAAAAATATATATATATTTTATATATATATTCCCCTGGATTCTGTACATACCTTTAAGTAT